GCCCTACATGCTTGCCTTCAGTACAGTCTTATAGAGGCATTTTCTCAATTGAGGATCCTTTCTCTTAGATGACTGTAGTTTCTAAATAGCTGACCTAAAACTTACCGGGATCCCATTTTATGACTGACTACTGACAGTCCCAGTCTTGTGCAATCCCACAGCAGGCAAGGAAATTTATTATAAGGAATTGTATCATGTGGTTATAGAGGCTGACACAACCAAATATTCAGTGAAGGTTTGCAGCAGTGCACATAGTAGAGAGAAGTCCCATGACTGTCTACTTGGATTGTGTAATAACTTGGGGGATTCTTGTTCTACATAGACATTCAACAAACTAGACCAAGCTGACCCATGTTATAGGAGATAATGTATGATGACGGCTACTGTTAATTGCAAACTTGATGGGACACAGCATCACCTATGAGATGGGCTTCTGAGGAGATCTCAGGGAGGTTAAGTTGATTATGCTAATTGAAGTAAGAAGACCCAATGTGACCAGCTTCTTCAAGCTCCTCCTGCCTTGACTTTGAACCATGAGTTTAAAAAAATTGCTTCATTACAGCAACAGAAAACACTCAGATATCTGAGTACCAAAAAGTACAATTTAATTTTCATATTATCTTTCCTACAATGCACACTGCAAACTGACACAAAATCACCCATTATCACATGTAATAGCAGGCACTTGGATTTTTAAATGTCTATCTGAAATTATTTTTCCTGACAAGGCAAGGCTCCATCTGCAATGCCTTCTTTGAAACCTGCTTCATTTGTGTTTCTGTGTATGTATAGAGATACTCTCAACTCTGCCTAGTGTGACAATTAGTTTGTCTTTCTCTTCAACAAAACTAAACACTTTCAGGTCAATGAGTCTCACTCATTTATACAATCATAGCATACATCACTCAGAATGGGCATAGAGTATATGCTTGCAAGAAGCAAACCAACATCGCATTCATTTCAACATAGACATACAGGAACACTGAATAAAAGTAAGCCTTTTAAAGGGAACACAGTAAAAGAGTCTTTCTGAGCCTTTTTCTTCTGGCTTTAAGATCTTGACTCTAGGTATGTGGGATGATTCACCCTGTGACTGTGAATAACAGGGCCAGCCTAGAGGGTTCTCCAAAGTGCGTCTTTACACAAAGGGCAAAAGGATTTTCACACGTGGCTGAAATCAAATCTTAGACAGCAGTCTGTATGCTGTGTCTGCCAGGAAGCTTAGGCAGAACTCCAGGCCCCAACATGATCTCCACAGTGCTTTTCTCAGCCCAGCCACTCCAAGAATCATTGTGGCAAAAAATGTGTGATTTATTCTCATATGGCTCTTTTTGTCAGGTTGTGCCCATCCATCCCTTAACTAGGACCCAAGTCATAGCTCTGGGAGCCTACTCTGGCTTAAGGATGCTTGCAACTGGTTGCATAAGGTCTGCATTGTTCTTGCACATTTTAAACAACATAAATTTACTCTAATTCCAGAGGTATTAGCCCTCCATTACCCTCCGTGACGGTTTCCACACTCAAGCCACACTCCTCAAAATTTATATTAGGAATGTCAAAGCTTCTCTTTCTGGTCAATGCTCAGCAGTAGGCCCAGAAGTCTCTGGTCCTTGGAGGCCTCTCTTCCTTAGCTATGAAAACAATGAGCGCAGAGCGTATGCAAGCATGCATTTGTGCCAAGTAATTCTTTCATTGTATGGATCAGGAAAAGAAGTTAAGAGTGGCTCATATCACAGCACTCATGCACTATCAGGCAACAACAAAATCATATCTGTGGGGAAAGCAAGCAGACAGGTCAAGGATGAGTAGAGCTATGGACATGTTTTGATGACTGTGAGGCCATAGTGAACAAGAGTGAAGGAAATAAGAGAGCTGCTTGGATAAGGTTTTGGGAGACATTTGCGGACAATGTAATAAAGGAGAATTATATAACTTTAAATAGGTCACTGGCAATATGCAGAAACTCGAGGGCTGAAATAAAAATATTGACAAAAACTGTTAATATAAAAGAAAACCTTCCTAAATCAGTATAATTTCTAGCTTCATTCTATGTACTTATCCTAATCTGAACAGATAAATGTATTCACTCCTCATCAAAGATTTCTTTTTAACAATTCACAGAGACTACTACAGAAAGCCACAATTGGTCAAACTTTAGGGAACAACTAAACCTGACTGCTGGGTTTCCATTCCCAATGGGTAGACCCACAACACAATCCTTACATCTGACACTTCAGGAACATGGTGGAAGACAGGAAAGAAAAGTTGTAAGAGCCGAAGATCCAAGACATCTGTTGGGAAATTGCACCCACTATATAGGATAGGAAAACTCTGCCCATGAAATTTCAGCAATGCGGTTACTTTCAAAAGACTTGCAAATATGACAAAACTAGCTGGCAGGTCAACATGTATGGGAGAAATCTCACAACATTCTACCTTTAGACCAAGAGCTCCAGGTAATTAATGAGTGCTGAGTGAGTGAGAACCAGCCTTGTCCAGGGTTGAGCTTCTGGACCAATCCCATGTAGGTACCCTAAACTCATATGCATACAAAGAATGAGAAAGGCACTCAGTAGTTTCTATTTACAAGTGCAAATATAGATATACATTAGATATGTATACATATAACAATAACAATTAAAGAACAAGAGATCATGAAGTTGAGAAGTAGTGGGCCACCATAAGAAGGAGAGAGGCACAAACACACACAGGTTTTCATGTTAGCAGGGTGCATTTCTTTCCCTCCCTCTTGGACAGATATCCAAGAGCATCACACTGTGGGTGCTGAATTCATGTTGTCAGAGAAGCTGAACTTTATATAAGATTGCAGAGCAGTTTCTGCTGAGGCGTCCTACAGGTTCACATTCCTACCAGTACTAGGACCAGGGCTTTTGGTTCTGCATCTTTGCGAGCAGTTCTTACTGGAGGTATATTTTGTGTTACCAGTGTGACATGGTAGTGTTTTCCTGGTTGCCCCTAAAGACCTTACTAAAGCTGTCATTGGGAGCTGTCCCTCCTGTGAGTGAGGACATGCTAGATTTCTTTTTCTGTAATCACAGACTTGTTTATAAGCAGAGAAAACGTGATCCTCTACAAATGAGAAAACTGGAACACTGCGGTTTGTTTTTATATTTTTAAGTGAACTTGAGGTATGCAAAAGCCTGTGGTGTACACTGCACTGTGAGTTGTCTTGGGTGGGAGGAGGGCAAGTGTTACGCCTTTTCTTCTTCACAGCTTCCTTTTCTCTTGACTCTTCTGGGACTAAGCATTTTCTTTTTAATTCCATAATCTTATGGAACCATGCTCCTTCAAGCAGTCTGTCAGTGACTGAGGGGCTGCTATGGAGAGCATGACTCTGTACACAGGACTGAGAGTGATAACAATGAAACAATATCAAGACATAAACCAAAATATACCCAAGAGAACATGGTGTGCTTTATCTTAAAATTCTTATGCTTCTTCCTTTTGTTCATCTTTCATGTTCTTCTTCTAACTACCTTTAATATCCTCTCAAAGCCATTTAATTAAGTGGATACTTTCTTATCTCTAACCAAGACATCATTGAGATTTACCAAGATTTAGATCAAATCTAATTATATAGTTAAACTGGGGGTGAATGCATGCTCTTAAATAAAGATATAGATAGATAAATTATGGGACAGTGTGGCTTTGTTCATCTATATAATACATTTCTCTAAATATATCATCTTTTTCTGTTTCTTTTGACTGAGAGATTGAGAAATAATCTTTTGACTTTAAAATATAAAGGAATAGTTATCCTTCAAATCTCTACAAATTTGTTTACCATTGTTATTTGTAAAACTCTAGCTCTGCCTGTCACCAACACCCTTGAGCTCCTGGGCTGATGGGCCTGAAATGTGTTGTAGAAGAACTGACCTTCACAACCAGCTTACGTTTACTTCAACATTATAGTTCATTCAGCAAACATATTGTCCCATATCATAATGACATTCCATTTGTCAGATACTTATATAAGGCCAACAGAGAACTACAATAAGCCTGATATAGAATATACAGAATGTTTTTGTTCTCACAGAAAACTGCTGAAGATCTACAATCAATAACTTCCTTTATTGACTTAACTGACAAAGGATCTCTTACGTATAATTGAACACATTCTTATTTCAGATCTTAAAACTTTTGTATCTGTAGTATGAATGACAAGTGAATATTTTATCAGTCTGCTCAGAGGAAAACATATCTGGAAGATCAAGGGCTCCAGAGTCAGAATGATATGACTTCCAGTTATGTTTAGCTATTAAATTGTTAGATCTATCACATATCAATTTATTGTACTTTTCTGAGCCCCAAGTTTATAATCCATTAAATAAACATTAAGCAATAAGATTACTATGAGAGTTAAATAAAATAAATGTATAAAACAACAGCAAGAGCTATCAAAATCATTTCCCATTTAGAATCAGATTGAACATCTGTAAAATCAAAGAAAGCCCTCAGGTGTTTGTTTTTCTGAGCATGATAAATGAACATTTGTGTTGTAATAGATATAGCCCATTCATCCTTTAATGTACCAAGTACTGTTTTTTATACAGGCATGGGCTTTGTAGACACATATGTTGAATATTCCTGATGACTCTAAGCCTATTATGTATCCCTTTGAAAGTCTTTCCTAATCCACATATCAATAAGGACACCTACTGCTGACTAAAATGATTCATGTAGGCTCTGAATGAAGTTAAAGAGAAAGTGGGTATCTTTTGAGCAAGTTCAGTAACTACAAATCAAATATTGCTCTTAATATTTTTATTTTCTTCTATTTAAATCCAAATTTGTTCCAAGAAATATATAATCTTCACAGAAAATTTTTAAAAAAAGTCTCTTTTTAATGACAGGTAAGTGTTGTATTCCAAAGTTCATCACAGGTTTAGGTTCCTGTAAAGAAAAATGGACCCTCAAATATGTTCATGTCTTTCTCTGTGGAGTCAGTAAATTAGTTCCTGAGACAGATCTTTGCAGAGATGGAGATGAAGGATCTTGATATGAGATTTCCTGGACATCTTGGTGAGTTAAAGATTCCCATAAGTGAGAAAAAGAGAGAGAGAGAGAGAGAGAGAGAGAGAGAGAGAGAGAGAACAACTGGAAGGCCTACAAGCTTTTGAAGAGGCCTTGTGGATTTTTTATAAAAATAGAAGACATGAAGTAAGGAGGCAAGATAGAATTAGAAACATGGTTATGAATTCTGTCCTTGGATTTCCCTTCACCCTAGGACCTCTGATATGTAGAATTTTAAGATAATAAATCTATTTTATTTTTCAACTCTAGGCCTATGATACAGTAGTAAGAGCAACAACAAATGCTTTCTTACACTGTGATCTGATACCGTATGGCAGCTAGCCTTTGCTAGCTGCTGACAGGGAATCTTGTCATCCACTCATTCTCCATTAGGTGCTTTAAACTGTTTGATTCACTGTTCATGGTAAATCAATAGAACACAATAGTTATCACATGTTTAAAAGAAACCTGAGGTTCAGTGAGGATTCTTACCTGGATTTTCCTGGTCCTCTGCATCTTGACCTTTGAACAGAGCCACTTGAAAGTACTTTCTTGAGTAGTAATTCTCAACCTGTGGGTTGTGACTCCTTTGGGTATTAAATAACCCTTTCACAGGGGTCGCCTAAGACCATCTGCATATCAGATATTTATATTATGATTCATCAAAGGAGCAAAATTACAGTTATGGAGTAGTAATAAAAATGAATTTATGTCTGGGATCATCACAGCATGAGAAACTGTTAGAAAATCACAGCATAAAGAAGATTGAGAACCACTGTTCTAGAGTTTCTAGAGGCTTGTTTCTAAGTCAAGTATCTTGCGGGCATTGGTAGTTTAAAGAAGCAGAATGTGAAGAGGTTACCATGTTACTGAAAAGAAAACATGATTTAGGATTATTTATCTCATTTCATTTTCAAAAGTCAAGACTGTAATTGTGTTTGTCATTAGTTTGCCAATATAACTGCCCAATAAATTTGAAAAGAGATGTTATGATATTTAATTGAGAAAAGAAGTAGAAATGTTAATTTTATATGCTGCAAATGCTTCTTTCACAATTATTATAATGTAAGGTATCATTAGCATCACTTTAATCCCATATTTTCACAGAATTTCTAAGAGCCTGAATTCACAAGTGGTACATAGCTGTGATAAAGGTAGCAGTATTTGTGAATGCTAATTATCTACCCTGGAAAATTAGTTCTTCTTTAGAATTAATGAAATACTGGAATGCCCAATTAAGGAAAGTATTAAGTTCCTCTAACGAGCATCGTCTGTGCATTCAATGGTTCCCCCGGCGAACACAGGTGATTTCACTGGATACTTACAGATGTTAGGCCAACATGCGCAGCTGCCTCCGAGAAATCTCTTTGAGAGCTGGGCTGGGAAAGTTCACCTCACTACAGTTATTCTCTCTGTCATCATTAACCTGCAGAGTATATATGGCTACAGGAACATGACAAACAGCAGTGCCTGGAGTGTTAATTCTGCTCTGCTGAGGAATTTGCATCTCTTTTCCTACAGCCTTTTAAACCAGTTTGCTAAACATGTTAACTAGCTGACAGTTTTCTCAAACTGTCAGGTACTCCTTCATGTTCCTAGCTTTTTTTAAACAAGTGCTGTGACATAGGATATAGACAAGGACACAGACAGCAAACTGCTCAGCTCTCAGACTGATGTCTATGAAAGTGTGTTGTCACCAAAGTGAACATTATCAAAAAGATGGGACACAAACACTGGAGAAGCAGTTAAATTTGTTTTAAAAAGAATAATTCTTCTAATGAAAAAGGCTTAGCATAATTGATTCAGAAATTAGTACGTATCATAGGAAAACTTCTGATTTCAAGTGATACACACTTAAAATTGTCTACTTGAAAACTGGATAGATACCTGTGGGGATGAAATAATTAGAGATGTGTGTCGATGTAGAGTCAGACAGATTAAACTGGAATTGTGAATGTCCATTAAAAACTGTGGGTGCTTGCATATCTTCATCTGACAAATGGAGACAGCGCTTTGTGTTGATGATGAGTTTGGGGTACTTTCTGGGGGTCAGTTCTGAAATAATAGTGGAACTTTATCTACCAGTATAGCTCAAACTGAAGACAAAATTGGTGGCACTTGCTTTTGGTTAGTTAGAGTCCAGTGAGGTTGTCCCATACTGGTCTAGGTTTATCAGTGTCCATCCCCATGCTACAGGACATCTGTTCCTTTCACATGTGATTATTAGATGACACAACTTAAGTAATGCTCTCACTTGGAATAGAAGGAGCATGATAGATATACACATGCTGAATATAAGAGCATACTGATATGGTACCTCATTTCATGCTGTTTCCTCACTGTTATCATTATTTATTTCTTTGATGCAGTACTATCTTTTATTCTGTTCTAACATATGAAAAATGCTCAAAATATTCTTGTTTCTAAGAAAATGAAGGTACAATAGAAAATAGGAAAAGCATATGTATTAATAATAGCATGTAGTAATTCCTAGGCTTGCTAACGAAGACAAGGGGTGCTAAATAAATAACAGCAGCACAGACCAAAGGAGCATATAGGTTTGGGCTCTTAATGGTGAAATTTATATGCTTTCTAATTGATTTCCATAGGTTTCAAAGACAAGATGGAATCTGCCATTCTTGTGAGTAATCCAGGAAGCTCAGCAGGTTATGAACCTCTCAGTTGTGAAGTGTCCATTGAGGTATGGGAAACATATGGCACCATGAGTTGAGAGTTTCTCTGGTGGAGAAAATCAAGAGATGCCTGCACATATAACAGTGTTTTGAAGTTCTAAAATTATTGTCATAACTATTATCTCATGTGTTCTTCCTAATTCTGCTAAGAGATGCTCATTTAATTAGTTTTTAAATCTGATTGATTAGAAATCTGCACGCTTTGCTCAACATAATGCAATTGCCTAGGGCTCAAGCCTTCAAAGAAGAGTCATGCTCTATTAAAAGCACAAACAAAACTGGGATAAAGTTTACAATTATGCAGTGATAAACTTTAATCATTAGAAAGATGCTAGAGGGGTTTGTGGTAGTTCAATGAATGAACTTCACAACATACAGATCATGCAGTTTACCAGACTTCTGATGAGTCATTGACTCAGTAAACATTAAATGATAGCAATTATTTAGGCACTAGATATATGTCTATCGATACAGAGGCATGGATCAGAGTATAGACACATATTTAAAGAAAGTATGTGATGGTGCTGAGGTGGCAATAAACATGATGAGTAGAATTTGAATTCAACCCTCGTTAGTTGTTGCTGTTATTGTTATTATTATTGTTGTTGTTTGTATTCTCACTATCCCTTGACTTTGCTACATATGATGGAAAATGGCAAGACAAGGTAATTCTATCTTATGTTGAAAGATAACAATGAAATGATGGAGAGAGATGATACTGACCTTTGCTTTCTGTCTCTACATTCCAATGGCTAGCAAAACATCACACAATCTTCACAACACTTATATGAGTGGATATCTTTCCCCCATTTGATTGAATACATAGTCAAGACTCAGGAAAATTAAGAACCCAATGCAAATTCACATTTACCAGAAGGAAATGGAATATTATAGAAGTGTGCGGTACATTTTATGCAGTAGTTGAATTGGCTGTTTCTATTGAGTAGTATTAATTCAGAAAGAAAAAAATAATTGAAAGTTGCAGGAGAAATCCTAACAATATTAGAAATAATTCTAAGCAGGAAATCAAAGTTTTAGTAACTCTACAGAAAGAAGTACATGCTACTTTTCCTATGCCAGTAGGAAATCATGGTGAAGAAAGGAACTGAACCAATTGGAGAAGCCATAAGAAGAATGCTGAGAAGGAATAACACAAAGCTATACAGAGATGGAGTTGCCTGGAATGCACTTCAGGAGACACTGTCATCTGCAACACTGTGTATACAGTTTTCTAATGGATGTTTTTGGCTAGGAGTCAGAAATGTCAGGCAATTTGACAAAATGAGAGCCTCCATGTCTCATGAATCAGACAGAATTTTCTCAAAGGTTATATTAGAAATAGCAGTATGTGGTTATAGTAAATGGCACAACAGGCTTGTCAAACTCCACGAAAGTTCCCCAAAATTGGTAACTTTCTAGCAGATAGTTGCTTAGGAGAAGATGGGGAGAGAGGAGTGGTGCTTCTCTCCAGTCAGCCTCTCCTGGCCTAGGACTAGACCCCACCCCATCTTCAACTTCATGCACAAGGGTGAGAATTTGTGTATTAACCTTCTGCAGTTTCATTCCCCTCACATATGGTGTGGTAATGTTATTGCACTGCTGATCAAGGGACCGCGATTCAAAATCAGTCAGGGCAAACCTTGATTGTTATTATACGAATAGACTCTTTCTTTTTGTTTAGAGTTTTGTAGATGGCCCCTGGCTTGTTTGTGCTTTCATACATGGAACCCTTGGAGGTATTAAGCTCACATTATTAGCTGTGAAAATAAGGCCTTCTGTGGACTGTGATTCAATATCCTGTCCACTGGAACATTTGGTTTCCAAAAGCCACCTTCTTTCAAAGCATCTATCTTCTTTCTTTCTTAGAGAATTGAAGATGCTTTTCTTTCTTTGAAAGACATGATGTCTCAACCTCTTCCTAAATCATGGCCATTATCAGAATTTCCTTCATTAATTATCACCATAGGTTTTTTTCCCTGTTTATGTAGGGTGATGGATATTTCTTGATCCCAGAAATACTGTAAATATTCATGTTCTTCACTCAACATCACTTAAAGAGTGATCAAATTATTTGGTCTCTGAACTACTGAAATCATTTTCCTATTCATCAAGAATACTGCACTTTTGCATTTACCAGAATTCTTCAAAATACCTCTTTGTACTTCTAGCTTCTCTTGGAGAAGTTTGCTGGGTTACAGTTAAAGAACTGTCTTTAAATTCTCAGTATGGTGCTTTTCCTTCACTGTCTTCTGTCATAGTCAGCTTCAGCTATAAACTTGACATAAATCTGGAGTCACCTAGGAGGAGGGAATCTCAACTGAGGATTGTACCAATCAAATTTGGCCATTTTTAAGCCAAATGTCTGTGGGACATTTTCTTGGTTAATGAATGATATGGCAGATCCCAACCCACTGTGCATGGTGCCATTCCCACACTTTCCTACCCAACCCTGAGCAAGAGGGAGACATTTGTATAAGAAAGCTAAGTGAGAATGCCAAGGAGAATAAGGAAGTAAGCAGGTTCCTCCAAAATCCAGGTTCTTGCTTTAAGTTCCTGCCCTGACTTCCCTAGGTGATAAAGTGTGTCCTGGAGGAAGTAAGAAACTTTTTTTTTATTACCAAGTTGTTTTTGGTCTGCATTTTTATCAGAAAAAGGAAAAAGCAAATAAGACACCTTCTTGCTGGTTATATAGTCACTATAAATTTTAGTTTTCTTCTCTAGAGAAGATTAGTAATTCCTTACTTTGAAATATTTCTGAGTCACTAGGCATGGCAGTGTACACAGTAGAACTTTCCTATGAATTACTTTCTATATACACTTTTTTCCTTGTCAGTGTATTTTCTCACAATGACTCAGTGATACCTACTGCTAATTTTCATATCTCTATGAATGTAACTCTGAAACACAGTACCATCTTGAAGTTCAGTCTACTTTATCCAATTTTCCATTTACTCATCCCACTATTGACACATATTGAGATATTTAAGGAACTCCAAAATGTTATAGGAATTAAATTGTACATTACCACTTAGTGCCCACAACACTCTTATGCTCCTCCAAATATAAAGAATAAACCATTGTACTTGCTTCACAATCTTATATCACCTACCCTCAACTCCTTTAGGAAACAATCACTGGTTTCCTTCTTGGCTTCACATTTTCTTAATATCTGTTTCCATAGACTTAAATCTTTTTATCTTGGCATTTTCTGTGTCAGTGTCTTACAGTATGTCTAATAAGAATGTTTAAACTAGCTTGCCTGCAATCCTCCTCCGCATCACTGTCATATTTTCACTTGCATTATCTTTTGTTATTGTTTTGTTCATGTATGTGTTTATTAGAAAAACCTATCCTAGGCTGTAAATAAAAGTCAGACTTCAATATACTATTTCTTTGTATTGACTGAACATTCCAGGTTTTAATTTTAAAATGTTCCTTCTTTCACCAAGACAGAACTGTGATCACAAAAAATTGCCAGCATTCTTGTCTTGAGTATTCCTTGATTTCTCTTCAAGCATGGTCCCTAATATCAGGTCTCTGTGAAGCACCCTGTCATCTGCTTCACTGTTTCTCTCTCCTCAGAAATATACCACATTCTAATGAAACCCAGGGTTTAACAAATTTTGCAGAAAGAAAAAGCATGTTCTCTTGTTAGCCTTCTGAGTGACTGGCTTAAGCATGCTTTCATGGCTGCTTCTGAGTTATCAGTGTGGATGAATCTGCCTTTCCCACCTGAAAGTATAGGATCATATCTTTTTGAAATTTTTTCCTTTGGTATTACAGATATGTGAAGATATCTGCTGAGTTATTTTGTTGAGTCATTGACCACTTAGAAGACTTAAATCCTAAAATGTCACTTATGCATGTGAATATAGAAAATTCACAAATGTAAGGAGTGATGATTGAAACTGTTTATGTGAGCACTGCTAAATGTGCAGTGGGTTTTGCATCCTTTGCTGGATAGTCTCTGAGTATTTAGAGAAATTACTCTCAAATTTTTGGCATATGTAAAAACTCTACGTTATTTAATAAATATGGGATGAGCTTCAAGAATTTCCCATTCTATGAGCTCAAAACGTAGTGTAGATGCTACTGATTCATGACCCACACATGAATTCCTTTTCTAGAAAACTAGTCAAGAACTGACTTCATTACTCTGTCTTCAGGCAGGGACACTTTGCTGTGAGAATCTCATTCTCAGACTATAGGAATACAGTCACTAAGGAATATAATATGCCCTACATTACTTTTTTGTATTAAACTATGAATAATACACTTTAGTAAATAAGTTAATTCTATAGATACTTGTAACTGGCAGCATTATGTCAATGCTGGTATAAGCACGTGATCCAAAGAATCACCTTATGCTCTTTAGTTGCAGATTAATTCTGCAAGAAACCTGAATTTGTCACGATTGCAATAATCTACAATGGCCGTGATTTGGAATAGGATGGTTTGTGATCCCATGTAGGTGTTTTTTGATAAGGCAGGGTTTTCCGGTTAATTTGGAGTAGAGTTCACTTGTATTTCAACAACGGTCTGTGTGTGCACTACATAATGTAACACATATTTAGCCGATTGTGACCTCTGGACCATAATTTTAGCAGCATCATGCCAGGAATAATTCTCAGAAGTATTTGAGATGAAGCTTGGAATGGATAGATTGGATGATAATTTATCAGCACGGCTTTGGTAAAGAGGATATGGTTCTAACTTTTGAACAGTGCTATGAAATCTTCGAAATTCAGATCTTCTGTTACTGTTATCCTCAATATTTGAGGTCTTTGTGGAAGGTGAGGGCAAAAGAAGAGGGAATAACTGCACTAGCTGACCTCACTCATGACCCAAGTGCCTGTGTGGTTTCTTCACCTGGAGCGCTATAAAAATAATGAGAAGAAGCAAGGAATATTTTCCTACTTGCCCAAAATTTTCATTTATTAAAAGACAGTGCAATTCATCAGGGCTTTCCAGCTTTGAAGTTTTATTAAAGATAATATGCAAGGGGCTA